TGCTCCCGGAATATCACGATCTCATCATGACCGTGTTCCCAAGGAAAGCTACCCGAAGGTATGAAATAAGCGTACTCCCCGGGCAAGTTATAGTAGGTAATAAGGGATTGGAGCCCCTCAGGCGTCATGGTCGAAGGGCCAAACTTGTCTAACATCCGACCCCGACGAGAGGTGGACGCCAAACTACCCGAGGCGCCTCGGCCTACGAGTTCGAACTCTTCCTCGAGCTCTTCCTCCGGCTCGCTAGAACTATCAGGGGGCACAACCCTATCAGGGGATGCAACTCGATTCGTAGAACCTGCATCGGACCCACTTGAAGGACTATCTGAGCTATCCAAGCTAGACATCGGGGAGTAAGATGGATTCCAGGAAGGTACTCACCCGAAAAAAGGCTGGAGTAGACCATGGGAGCTCGGACGAGCAAAAAACCTTGAACGCGAACTGAAAAAGCCTGGACGCGAGCTAAAACTCAGACGCGAGCTCAAGAGAAATACAGAAGTGACAGCGACTGGGGTCCCCCCCTGCTATTTATACCCACAGTGACCGAGAAGTGACGGCTCAGATCAAAGCCAATCCGACGGCCCACAGTCACACTGACCGCACGTCCCCTGAGACCGAGACGTGATTGGCGCACGTCTTTCTAAAACTGACAGAACGCCCGCGCACGCCTCCTCACAATAAAGGCGGCAGCGGCATGTTTTCAAATTTGAAAAGACGCCTGCTGTCACGTCTCCCAACGGTGCGCTTTTTGAAATTTTGAAATAAAGCGCGCGTCGTCACGTCTATCATCGTTTTTAGGCAGGTCGACACGTTTCCCGCCTTTTGGGCGCTCGAAGAAACCCAAGGAACCCTGACAACGCACCTCGCGCCATCAGTCAACCAAGATTCAAAGTACGAGGCAAATCCACCTGCCACCTTGTGAACTCCCCGCGCCAGGGCAGGACCCTTAGCGCGAGGAGTGGGGGGCAATTGATGAAGGAAGATTTGGCCCGACCTCGCAATCACTCCATGTGGCAAAAGCAAACAGCTCGGAACAAACAGCGCACCCAAGGCACGAGCATCAAAGGGAGGAACCAGCGGTCCGAACTCCTTACTAGGAGTCCGAACTCCCTACTAGGAGCCCGAGCTCCCTACAAAGAGCCCGAGCCTCACAAGGTAGTGACCCGAACTGGCCCGCCTCATGGCAGTTCGGGACGCTCCCCTATCCGAACTCAAGAATTCATCTCGCTCACCACTCCAGCACTTCGCCTCCGGGACGCCAGACTGACCAAACGTACTATACCTGACACCGAGGATGTCCGTATCCAAGGGCGGCGCACCTGACTGATTTGGGATCTGACGCTTGACAGTTGCACTTCAAACGGCCTCCTGCCACCGCCACCTGCCACCGTCGTCACCAGCCGCAGAGACGGCTCCGACAAAGGGAGCAGTGGCGGTTTTGCCCGGCCAGAGGGGATGACATCCGAACTGGCAGGAGCTCAGAAATAATCATGCCCAATCTGACAGAAGCTTGGAAGTGAGTGCGCGAGGTGGTTATAAAAGGCTCTCTACCCCCCAAGAACATGGTATGCAAACTTTGCGCTATTTGGTTTTATCTTGCCTTTGAAGGATTCTAACTTGAGCTTCGGAGCCTCCACATCGGGTTCCCCCCGGAGCTTCCTCATCTTCTCCGTTTCAGGTTCCCCACAATTCCGTTCAGAGGCAAGGTCATTGACAGATAGGACCAACCGGATTGCGCACCATCAGTTTTATTTTGCCTTTCCGAAAGTCCTTGGCTTTCCTCTGTCGATTCCTCTGTTTGCCTATACTCCTCAAGGAGGGCACAAATCTATCCCCAAATCCTCTCTAGTTCCTCCTACTTCTTTCCCATAATTGATTCATCCCTAGATTTTTTGCTACTTTGAGCCCCTGTTTTTACTAAACCTGCTTGAACCCCATACTGCCCTACCTATTTCTCCTTTCTCTTATACTCCTCTAAAAATCTACACATCTGATCTCAGTATCTTCCCTAACTCATTTTCCTATAATTTCCCTCCCCTTTCCACTTCTTCTCATCCTTGACCCTCCTTATCCCCAATTAAATACTTTCCATCCATAACTGCTAAATCAAGTTGAGCTGCAAAAGTACTTGTTCAAGGCAGAAAACCACATCAATACCATAAAACGAATTGACAATATTACCTAACAGGTTGTGGGAACAAGCCAATGGATAGCAAGACAAAGGGGCAATGTCACGTCTACTCATTCCAAAAGAGGTGATTGTGGGTCTCCGTTACGTTCAACCAATATTGTTTTAGTCATTGCATTAGAATCTACTTTTAGATGTTGTCCCCTGATTGATACCTCTGTGTTCGGTGATCGAGGTATGTCCTATTTCTCTAGTCTTCTATCAATGCTTTGCTGCTCTAGCAAACTGGGAGCAAATTTAAGAGCCAGTAACCTTTGCCTCTCCTCTGTAAAAGCTGCAGTAGCCCCCACTTCCTTAGGTTAGGGGGAAGGTTGAGAGAGCTTTTCTTGAACTGAATCTTTTAAAACCAAATCATCGTTTTCCAAAAAAAATAGCTCGGTATGTAAGCTCTCATTGTCGCTGAGGGGTCTGGCTTTCTTTAGTTCTACACTTCTAATACTTGAAGAGCCTTCACACTCTGAATCTGAACTGCTTCCTTCCTCCGTCTCACAGTCCTCAAAAGCATCCGTGGTATTCTGGTTTTCTGACGTCAGAATGATGAAGAAACCTGTCTCCACTGTCGTCGGATGAGGCTTCTTGAACCTCGGATTGCACTATTCTGGAGAGACGCCCTTTTTCTTCAAGATTGGGACCCATGCCTAGTTCATATTTGTCGCACCACTGCAGCGAACCCACTTCCTACAGGCACTGGTTGCGAATTGCTTGAGGGAGATGATGATAGACCAGCTTTTCAATCCTTCGTCTCCCCTCCTGCCTTGGTCACGTGCCCACTTAAAAGAACGTGTGACCTTCTCTATCCCCTTACCAGCTCCTTTGGTCACGTGCCCACTTAAAAGGGCACGTGGCTTTTTAAGTTCTGGGTCCACCCGATTTAAAGTAACCACCCCATTCACTTTACTAGAACCCATTAGATCTTGATGGGCCTAGGCCCAACCCCTCTATCCCCTTGTCAGCCACGTGTTTACTTAAAAAAAAAACATGTGATCGGCCTTGGTTCGTTGAACTAGAATGAACTGTCTCGAGCCCTAAGAACTTGCCGACCTTTGTTCCTTTTGTTTTGAAATTTGAATTGCTACAAGCCTGTCTGCAATTATTTCCCAAGTGTTTAAATCATTCTCTTTTTCCGTTTTTTCTTTGGGAACCTCAATTGTCTAAACTTCTCTTGTAAAAGACTACTTTGCCTTGCAAACCATACAACCAAGCCTGTTCTGCCCCCCTTCATCTTCCTCCCTTCTACCCTCCTTCCATAGCTGGGCTTCAATGGAGGAAGAAAGCCAAACGGGGTAGACTAAACCATCTGAAACAACCTCTATTTTCCTTGGAATGTCGCTGGGTTTAACACCACTTAACATCATTGCAACTGAATGGAGATCACAATCAAACACACCACCTAATCTTGCATCACAGACTACAGCTATTGACTGTAACACTTCCTCCTTCCAGAGGTTGAAAGGTAACCAAGCAATCTAACTATTACATTGTCCTCAATCAAAAAACTCTTGGTATTGAAGAGATGACACCATTTCGAGACTGTGGCAGCACCAGTCTCTGAGTGAATAACTAGAGCTGAAATCTCTACATCATCTTCCCCCAAGTCTAACAAGGCTTTACAAGAGGCATAAGGAGTAATCACCATCGGCTTTTGCAGGTTTAACTCTCTGAGTATCGCCTGTGCAATACCTCTCCAATCCTTTGGTGGACTTGAAGTTTCCACCACAAATTTCTTCCCCCAATTCTTCTCTTCTACTGGTGCTGCAAGTTTGCAGCTTCTTTTTCCTTTTTCTGCGATCAACCAGTTTCTATCACTGAAATCTTCCTCTCTTTTGCATACCCCTTTTCTTTTCCTTTGCTACATTCTCTACTTGTTTGTTTTCAGCTGCTGAATAAAGTCACTCAGTACCTGTGCCACTGCCTTCCAGCCATTACCCCTTCTACTTTTTGGGAAACAAACCACCTGCTTCTTTCTTTGCCCAAAGAATTCCTACAGCGTTATATAACAACTTTTTGCATTCTTTATGCATTCCAACTCATACCCCTTCCTTCCATCAAGGTTGAACTTCGTAAAGTTCATTTGTTTACCTTTAGAACTTGCTTCTAAACAAACTTCTGCATCCATTCGATCACTTCAAGACCTTCCAGCAATATTGTAGCTCTCTTTGCCTCCCTAATCTTCAAGCTTTGCTGGCCTCTAATCCTTACCTCTTCAAGAATGAAAACTTTTGCTTCAATCTTTATCTCTTTCCTCCATTTTGCAACTTCTASAAACTTGTTCTCCATCTCTCTTCCTCCTCCAACCTCAACCCTTTGGAATTACACTTATCATCAACACTTGCAATAAGTGTTACTGAATAGGGAAGTGATAGACATCTACCATTGTAATCTTTTGTGTGCGCTTTTTTTTTTCTCTGTTTTTTTCAAATGTACATTTGCGTGTAACTGAATACCTGAAAATCATGTGGGAAATTATCATTTTCTTTCATTTTTATTGCTGGTTGTAGCCGAATGGAGCCAAAGCTGAGTTAGGTGAAAAACAAAGTTTTCACCTTAAAAGCAGAAAAGTATAACAAAAATACTTTTACGGTGAAATTTTCCACCCCTTTTATCAAAGGCTGCACTGTAACGGTTAGAGACAATTTTGAACATAATTGACCAAAACTATACCTAAAAATTTTATAGATGGAAAAAAATTTCCACCGACTATACAATTAAACCGATGGCTGACGGGGCACAAAGGAGTGGAGCCTCTCAGCCCAGTAAATTGAAAGGAAATGATGAAGTTTCTAAAAGACCAATTCAGTGCAATTCCACGACATAAAGCAAGACTAAAATAGGTTGTTTGTTCAAGGCTGAAGAAGCAATGGAACCTGCTTTGTCAAAAATGTGTGTTAAATTATAAGAAACGACAGATACACGAGACAATCTCTCCAAACTATACACAATTGATATAACTATGCAAAGGGTCAACTACTTCACAGGGCCCTACTAGAAAGCATTAACAACAACATAATCTATACCTAACATCCCAACGTTGTCAATTCAACCAGGTATTTAATGACGACATAGACTTGGTACATCACCACTATTCCTCTCGCCTTAATGGATTTTGGAGCTGACTTGCAGCTTCCAACTGTTTGCAAGGGAAGATCAAAATCAGCCACTGGCTACCCTTCCATGTCAATGTTGATTTCTTCGATATCTAAACTAATCTTGGTGATCCTCCTGTGCTGGTGGGGGAGCAAATCTCACATTTTCTGGTCGAGTTACCACTACGGTTTCATCAGCAAAAAGTGACTTGATAAACAATGGAGTCCTCAGTGGGCGACGACCTGTCATCCGTGGATATACGTCTTCAAGGAAATAGTATGCATGGCCAGCTATCATTCCCTGAACCATAGAATATATGGGTGTCAAATGGGTCCAGTACACAGATGACTTTACATGTAGGAACAAATGGATACTATTGAAACATCACAAGCATATTATTCTAGTATATTTGAACCACCTAAATCGTTTGCATGGTATCTTTTGATGTTATTATCAGGATTCATAGCTGACCCTATATAGTTGGGATAAGGCATGGACGATGATGATGTTTTTATCAGCAAAAATATGTTTCTGGTTTACACAGGAAAAAAAAGGTTTCTCTTGCCTTTGAGCCTACATGTCAATCCAAACAATGTAAATTGGCATGATGCCTAATGTATCAAGCTAGCTCCCCAATAATGATCTGGATTAAAGAAAGAAGGTAGAAACATTATTTATTTGCCATGTATGAAAGGAGTATTGGGTTGAATTAAAACTTTGCAATTGACCAAATGAGGGGCTAGAAACATGCTTTCATGGACCTGCTCTCTAATCTGTCATGTGCAAGGAAAAGCCACTGGTCTGGACAAACAATATTGTATTACTCTGGGTTAGAAAAAGACACTTACCAGCAAATCCACCCAAGCACTAGTACCAACAAGTATAGAGAATCCCAAAAGAACCTGCAATAGAGGTTAAAAATCAGACATTAATTGTATATTTTGCCCTTTTTTCTAATCCAATTGCACACAGGCTAACAATACAAAGTGGAGAACAAGATGTTTGGTCAACTCCAAGTCTCTAGTTTTCCCTGCAATTATCCTTTTCCAGTTTACCAGGTTCATGATCAAAAGTTTTTCAAACATGCAACACAAGAAAACCAGTAGAGCTGGAAGAAAAAGGGATCAAATGAACATCATAACAGTAATCGTGACATCTTATGTAGTAAGTTCAGCTTTCCAGAAAATTCACTCAAAAAAAAAAAACTGAGGATATTAAAATTGAGCAGATAAACTCTGGGAAAAAATTGCAAAAGCATCATTCCTTGATCTCACTCCCTTTTAAGGAATTTCATGACTTTAGTTCTTGTCATGACTTTGCAGAAACTATAACATGTCAATTAAAGAGACTGACCAAATATAATACATATCCAATTAATAAAAAAACAAGGAGCACCGAGACAATCATAGACCAACCACTTTTTGCCATGTTTAGGAGCTGAAGAGATAACCCACTTAAGTTCTTCCAATAGGATTCAAAGATGAAAATACTTATATGGTGTTTGGTTCTGTGGCCATTATTTGAAAAACGGTGCCAGCTCATCGCCATGTAGGCGTTTATCTCAAAATGCTATTTGCATGGTGTTTGTAAGACAGTTTATTAAATAAATGTTTTCTTGGTTTGTGTGAGAGCCAACTGTTGGGGGAAACACCATTTTTAATGTTTTCCCCAACACACAGCCGTTTATTTACTGTTGAGATTATGTGGCACCTAATGGTGCCTAGCTGTCAAACAACACCATATAAAAGTTTATCTACCACAGTACTAAACAGACCCTTGGTTACTAACCAGAAGGTTATTGGTGTATGAATGGGTCATTTTGAAAACCATTTTGATGAGTCTACGAATTTCTTACCATTTAAAGAACAGAACTTCAGCCAGAAACTAGCAAGAACTAATTTCTATCTGGAACTTCTGGCAGTACCCATTGAATAAATGCTAAAAGATGTATATGAGGGAGAGGAAACTAGTATAATATGGGCTGGAGCTATATCTTAAAATGGCTTTTTCTCATTGGTAACAGTCAAAATTATGTACAAGAGATAATTATCAAAAAAATAATAATAATTATGTACAAGAGATGTGTCCTTCATCCTCTAATAAAAGCTAATATGCCTTTCTTTATCTTTTGTTATGATCTTTATAACGAGTTCCCATTGGAACTCCCCACCCCAAAACACGCTAACCCTATTTGATTCCCTGCCTGTTAGCACTCCTAGCCATCCACTTGAATGTTAAATTCATTTCAGCTGCTAATTTTCTAACTTCCCTCATCATATACCTATATGTAAAATGGTTTATTAACCAAGTGACCAGTACTTCACATCTTGAAGTTCACTTCACTCACCAAATAAAAAGAATAAGAGACACATCATGAGAATATTTAATCCCAACCATTTTCCAGTTTAACAAGTTAGTAAAGCTTCATTGATAACCACTCACCCATGGTAAATAGGCTGCTGTAAAAGTAAAAAGTCCCAAGAAACTCATATGGATAAAGGGATTCTGCTTGCTCCAGACATAAACCTATGAAGAAGAGAAGTGGAATGAAAACTGGCAACAATATACAAGAAACAAATAGAATCATATTTAAGTTAAACAAAAGAAAAAATGTCACATTGACTAACCATCATGAAAGTCAATGAATTGCTTAAGAAGAAAATTTTTGCAAAAGACTCTGATACATAAGGTATCATCCCACCAACAAGCACTATGACAGTTAACACTGTGGCACCAAATAAGAGCATATAAAAGAAATCTGCAGTCCTTCCCCTGAAGGAGTTCTCTTCAAGAAGCTTGCAGTATCGAGCAAGAAAGAACATGTGGAATAGGAAGTCCAAGTCTGTCATTGCCAAGAAAGAATAGCTCCAGTAAGATAAGGCTTGAGAGAGCAGGAAAATATGAATATAAGCAAGAGAATAATAATATGATGCTTTTCTCTAAGTACGGATTTGGATATGGTAAAATTCATACTGCATCCTGTGTAATCCAAAAACTTCCTTACTGAGCTACCAACATGTATCAAAAACAAAGTTTTTTTGGTGATGAATCACTTGTAATCCAAAAGACTGAATATTACTGAGCATTAGAAAAGTGGGATCTTTTCTAGATTATGAATAATCATAGTGAAACTCCACCTATGGTGATATATCCCTATCGCAGATGGCTTATCTATTTACTGGACAGAGAATTGTCTGAATTTTCTGAAAAGTGCATGTCCTGAAGTTCAAATAGGATTTGGGGATCATAATGAATTTATACAAGATGAAATGTGCAACCAGTTATTGGTTAGACTATTGAGGGTTAATTACCTAAAATACCCTTGAACCTATCTTCCCCATTCTTTTTCTTATCAGTAACAGAAAATTTATTAATAAAACAGAGAGGATTACAGCTTTTAGGTTTGACTACCCCACACAAACTCAACCAAAGGACATCAGTTACTAGAAATCTTTAACTTTTCACTTTACAAATTAGCCCAAAAGCACCGTTCCCTGTTTACCCCTTGCTTTGCTAACTGATCTGCTAAACCATTGGCTGATCTTGGGGTAAAGAACCAGCTGCATATCCTTTGATATACTCCTGAACTTTCTGATTCCATTTTTGAAGCACCAAGGAGTCTGCTCTGTTCATTTCAGCCAGCTTAGGACAACTTTAGAGTCTCATTCAACTATCAGTCTCCTTACCCCCAACTCCATAGCTTTTTCAATCCCAAATATCACTGCCTTCAACTCAGCTGTTGTTGAATTCCCTACTCCAAGTGGTCCAGAAAACAAACCCAACTTCATTTTCATCCCTTAATACCCCTCCGAATCCTGAAGGGCCCGGGTTACCAAAGCTACTACCATCGAAATTCAGTTTGAGGAAAACATTTACAGGTGGGACCCAATCTCTTAGGATTTTCTTTTTTGACGATGACGAAGCTGCCACTCTGCCCCACGATCTGATTATATCATCAATAGTAAAGTCCGAGAATAAACTCAATGATTGCACCCAATGTGCCACCTTTACCATGATGCTTTCTATCAGTGATTCTTTGCTTCTTTTCTTCTTCCCCCCTCTCTTTCTTCTTTTCTTCTTCCCCCCTCTCTTTCTTCTTTTTTCATCTGTTGCTGCAACTTGACTGCATATTGCCTGGGGTTGGTTCCTCCAACACAGTTGCCCACCTCAGCCATAATGATTAACTTTCACATCACCCCTACTAATCTTTAATCTGGAATAATAGCAGCAAAATCGTGGTGGTTCCAAAGATTCAAAGATTCAATCTGAATGTGTTAGACCATGGGGGAAGAGTCCCCGTGAACTTTGATAAATACCACATGTTGCCACCTTTATGATACCAGTTGATTGGTTACAGTTTTTCTGGTATCATAGTAAATAACATAAAATCAAGTCATAATGATGTTCATCTCAATTGCTTCCCTAATGATACTAAAATCAAGTCACAATGATGTTCATCTCAATTGCTTCCCTAATGATACTAAAATCAAGTCATAATGATGTTCATCTAGCAACAAACAAAATAACAAGAGAAAACAACTAATCAAATAACTGATTGAAAACACCACTTAGCATTGATTCCATCATGGACTATTGCCACATAGCACTCCATCATGGGCCCTCCATGTTCTCAATGTTAGAGGTGTTGCACTTGCGAACCTTCAGAAGAGCATGGTTGACATGGGTCATCGGTGTCTTAATGCATAGGACCTGGCATGCACCCACAACAAAGGCCAAGCACAGGTCCCCAATGCAATCAAAGAAGCTGCCTCCATGATTGGCTTCTCCAGTCCTCATAAATCTGGGAAAAGTAAGTGAAAGAATCCCAATGGGAATGATTCTAGGATTTTGAAAGAAAATTCATTTTGGGATTTCCATTCAAAAGAGAAAGGAGGTGAAGCTAGGTAATTCTTATGCCAGAAAGCCACTCACTACCTTTACCCATTAAAGTTGAGAAGGAAAGAGAAGGCATTGGGAAGGTGAAGAAGAAACCTTTTGTACTCTGTTTCAGAGAGAACAGAGAGACAAAATTGTGGACAACTAGGAACCAGATCCAAATTAGAGAGCATCAAGATCAGCAAAGAAGTAATAGGGTTTGATGGGTTTAAGAAGTGGAAGAGAAGTAATCCAGATGAGACAACTCTGGGAAAGATCTAATGAACACCATGCTTTTTCAACTCCTTGCCGACTTGTTGTTAGCCCAATCAAGGAGGGGGCCTTAACACAAAATTGATAAAGAAAAAGAAGAACTAGATGGTTCTGATTCAAATTTCTTCATTGACAAGGTATTGGGACAGAACATAAAGAAAGGGCTATTGCAAACCCAGGCAGAACTCAACACCATAAATCCAAACCTACAATTCTTGAATGACCAAATTGAAGCAATTTCCACCAGTTTTTCTTTATCAGTAGCAATTTCCACTAGGTTCAGTCAAAAAGTTCCTCGTCAGTTTTGGTTCGGTTGTTCCTCTATTTCAGTTGCTGAAAACAGAGTGAAAGAAATGAAAAGAAAGGCAAAAAAGGAGGAAAAGTAGAGAGAGTGGAACGGCTGATGGTAACATGGTGGTGAATGCCTAGTACTGTGTCAACAGGGGTAAGGTTGGTGGTGACCGGTGACGGCAAAATTGGGTTTTCAAAAATTAGAAGTGTCACTTAATGTCACATGCAAGCAGAATGTGACAGTCAACTAACGGAAGGGTAGTATGTGAAATATTACATCATACTTTAGAGGGTCTTTAAGTAGGTCTTTAAACCTTAGGGGTGGTTTAAGTAATTGTCAAATAGTTCAGGGGTATTTATGTAATTAATCCAAAAACACATGGCATGTAATGAAGGTGTAGTAAGTCATTCTCATAAACAATGGACGAGAAACATCAAGATAAATCCAAGGAAAAACATGCAAACAATAAAAAAGCCATCACCCAATGATGGTCCCACTTGGTATAGTTCAAAAATCATTACACCAATTTGATAAAAGTTCACAAGAAACTCTTGGCTATGAAATTTACACCAACTTGATAAAAATTTATAACTTGATTGTATAAGTGGTTGGTCCCTTTAGTTCTTTTATACTGTCTAATTAATATTATAAAAGTTTCTAAGAAACCCATGATGTCATAATTGAATAAGAATTATTTAAAAAAAGATAGAACACCAAAAATGAAAATGTACAGAATTTTGCCACATTCTGACAATTGTTAGTCTGAAGTTTTACAAGCATAAATTGCTACAATGTAAGCAATAGTAAAAACACAGTAAGAGAAAAAGTAAAGGATGAGTAGTCCCCTATTATGTATGGACTATGTTTTTTCATGATTCAAATCAGTGTGTGCACAAGCAAACCTTATTTGGCACCATGGGAATGTATCAAGTGTGCTACTCCTAAATATTTTTGCATGCATTGGATCACTTAGTCAGTATGACTTACACTCACCTACCAGAAAGGTGTTTGTCAGAGTTTTAATTGTTTGTTTTGCTGTGTTTCTTAAGGTGCTCAACATGATTTGTATTTCATTTGGCATGAAGTCCACAATTGACATTAGAGAAAAAAAAAAAAAAAAAGAATTCTTGGCCAGTTCTAAAGATTAAGTTCATTTTTAGGTTCTCTTTCATGTTTTAAGGATAACACTGCAAGGTGCATTTTTGAGAAGCCTTGATGAAGATATGGATATTAGATACTAATGTATAAATATGAGGACAAAAACCTGTCATTGACAATAGCTAAGAGCAAGGTTTATAATTTGATGCGTATCGTATCTTTAAAAGTCCAATATGAGATACGGTGGAAAATCGGTCGTATTGTCTTTTTTCTACCATATTGGGGCATATTGACCGATACGCTACGAAAAAGATACAGCCAAAAATTGAAAAAAAGGGGGGGAGAAGAAAGCTTCTTTCCCCTGAAATAAGCCTTCTTTCACCCCCAAATGACTCTAAAACTCCAAACCTCATTCCTAAAGTGATAGATATGCAAAAATTTGCAAGAAACAAGCGTGATTCATTATTTCTTTTAAAATATTTTTCAAATTTTGAAAAAATATGTAAGTTTTTTCAATTTTTTATAATATCTTGTGATTTCTTTTTTTCTTGAATGTTTAATTCTATGCTGATCTACATTTCTTACATTCAAAATCACAATTTTTCTTGTGTTATGAGTAGATCTATGGAAATTTCACGAAGATATTTGGGGAAATATAAATTAACAAAAAATTTGAAAATGTAATTTTTTTCTTTGCCTATAAAGACTTATATATTTTAGATCTATGGATTTATCAATCATATCCATAGAGCAATTGAAAATTTTTCTTTAATAATTCTATGGATGATCTATCATATCCACAAAGAAATTGAAATTTCTTCTTTAATAACTTTTTTGGAATATATTGTATAATGTTTATTTATTTTTATAGTTTTTAAAAATAAAAAATAAATAATAATTATTTAAATAATAAATAATTATTAATTATATTTTCACTTAGGAGTTGTGCCAATGCATGTTTTATGGTTGGATAGAGGAGTTGGGTTTTTCCCATCCCATAAAACTTAAGAATATTTATAAATTATAGTTAAACATAGGTTTTTAATGAAATTATAATTGACTACAGTGTATTTCTTCATAAAACCATTAAAATATATTAATTTAATGTATATATACCTCATTGAGGTCTTATATTTAGTGTTATTGATGTATTTTTATGATTTATTGAAGTATTTATAGTGTTTATCATGCATATCTTAATTTTTCTCCGATACGCATGCGTATCCCGATACGTCTCTTAAAATTGCCTTTCCAATACACTTGGGATTTCCGATACTTTGAACCTTGGCTAAGAGTCATATTTTATTTGTGCCATGGAAGTGAAACACTCACATTTGACTATACTAAACAACCAAGAGCATAACATAGCAGCTTCACTTTGTTCAATCCATTTTTCATTTGCCTACTTTAGTATTTAATTAGTTGCATTCAAGGTAAAGGGATAAAAAGAGAGTACTTTTATACTATCCTTCTTGAACCTCATACATGTCAACACTTAAGTTAATATGTTGTTCATCAGACTGACCAACATAATCAATTCCACGAGGAACCATTTGCATAATTGCAGTATCACCACAATTATTTACAATTGATCTATTGTTTTGGCATTCCTCACGTTTGACTATTCTAAACAACTAGGAGAATGACATAGCAGATTCACTTTGTTAAATCCCTTTTTATTTGCCTACTTGCTTTTTTGATCAATAACAGAATGCCTACTTTAATATTTAATTAGTTTCATTCAAGATAAAGGGGTAAAAAGAGAGTGCTTTTATACTACCCTTCTGGAATCTCTTACATGCCAAATCTTAAGGTAAGATGCTGTTCGTCAGAGGACTGACCAAGATAATCAATTCCACAAGGAACCATTTGCAGTATCACTTCAATTATTTACAACTGATCTACTGTTTTGGCATTCCTCAAAACAGTATCATTTCTTCCGGTGGGTGCATCCAAAAGAACTACAATACAATGCCGCCTGATATGAATCAAAATATATTCTAAATAAAGTTAGAATTACCCATTTTCCGGAAGTACAAGAAATTTGTGATGAGGCGCCAGAATTCATACTGCCGTACGACAAGATTTGGGTTCAAATACAAATTATACGGGGAGATTATCTGCAAAAATAAGGGAAACATATATAATGCAAACCATGGAAATAAAGGAGCAAAAACCAGCTTCGAAATTCTCTAAACTCCTAAGTTCCTTTACATAACGCCAAAACAACAAAAGAAAAATGACACATCACAGAAATATAAATCTTCGGTAATTCGAATGAACCCAAAGCTATACAATTCGTCAAAGTTCAAACCAATCCATCCGATATTAACTCAAATTGATCAACCCAATTACCCAGGGGCAGGAGCGTTAGATGAAGAAAACGATGTCTTTACCAATAAAAAAAGAAGAAATAAAATGAAAATCTAAAACCACAGAGCCCATAAAATCGTGCAATAAGCACAAAGAGGAGAAGATCAAAGAAATAGATAAATATAAAATAAGAGTTAAAATGCATACCTCGAGAGAGCATCCAACGGTTGTGACAATTGCAGCTGTAAGATATGACCGAGTGATGATTGGCATCTGCTTGTACCATTCTTCGACAGCCTGAGCCATCCTTAGATTTCAGATATCAACCGGGAAAAAAAATCAAATCCCTAACTTCGAACCCAATTCTTACACAAGCTAAAGCTGGAAAGGGCGTCAGCAACTAGGTTTGAAGAAGACCCGAAATACCAGAAGAGTTGCAGAGAGAGAGAGAAACAGAAGGGGGGCGATTGAGAGAAGAGAGATTTCGACTTCCGAGTTTCGACTCTTAACAAAAGTGATAATGACAAATTAAGTAATTAAAAATGGAGATCGAGAAATGAGCCCTTATAAGCCTGTTGTCAGCATAGTTACTAAATTACCCTTATTATCAGCCTTACGCCCTTCCCTATATGAGCAGTCAAGATGGATCGTGCAAAGTCACATCTGCCCCAGAATTGTTCCACAGCACATCTTCACCGTGTATTGCAAATATCTCCCAATGATTTAATGCACGCTGAGATGTTCATGTGAAACGTTTTTGGGCGCATTCTGTGGGGGCAGATGTAAACGCGGACCGTGCAAGGGTCTTTTTCATTATAGAGCGGAAATGGACGAATCCACAGTCAGCACTCCATGCATGGTTATGGATATGGATGGCTTTAGGAGTATTTAAGGGATGAAGTCATAAACGACAGCTGTCGAATTTTGATTCGATGTCTTTCATGTCAAAAGCCAACATGGCAGTACACTCCATTAGAATTTGTGAAGATGGGCCCTACCTCTTCGATATGGATCACGAACCATCATCACCCCGAAGAGACTGGATCTGCTCCTCACATCTGGTGCCTCACAGGTGTTTTACATGTACATCCTACCATCGGGAACATCTTCCGCACTTATTAATTATTATTCACAGTTCCGAATGCACGGTCGATGTGCATGTGAGGCGCCCATTTGTGAGTAGCAGATTCCGTCTCCACTCCCAAAAATAGTAAAAAATTCCCATGCTAATGGGCCTCTTCTTTGCATGCAAAGCACAAGCTTGAAACTTTTGGCCTAAAAATGGCAACGGGCGAGTTGGGGGCAGGGATCAACCATACTCCTGGTCCCAAACAGCTAAAGTTTTTTCACAATAAAAGTAGTTCAAATTAGGGTTGTTCATAAGAAGGCCCAACCCGACCAACCCAAGTCGGTTGGGTTTTTATTAGCACCGGTTGGTTTCGAGTTGTACAAATTCATAAACCGATTGTTCGGGTCGGTTTCGATTTTCTTGTGTGAAAACCGAAACCGAATCGATTTAGTTTCAACTTAACTAAGTTGTTTCTATCCTAATTCCTAATTACAACCTAACCTTTTCAGTTTTCGTGGTGAAACTAATCTCTAATCCCAGATGCTTATCATTTATCAATCTATCTTCTTTTTGTCGTATTCACTTCTAGTGAGAATAAATTCTCAAACTGACAACCCAAACTTGCACCACATAGGCACATGGGCCATGGCCCATAGGGGGCATGGATGAACTTAGAGCCGAAACCGATTCAAACCGACCCAACCCGACTCAAACCGACCAGATCAGTTTTGCTTAACACTGGATCGGTTTCGGTTTCCATCTCAGATAACCCGACTAGGTCGGATCGATTGGAAAAACCTTAATAAACTGACCCAACCCGATCCATAAACAGCCCTAATTCAAATCAATCTCCTATAAAATAGTTTCTCACAACATCCCACAGCACATCCTCGCCATGTATTAAAAACATCTCCCAATAATAAATATCAAAAATGACGAAACATCAATGGAAGATGTTTACTATACACCACGGAGATGTGCCGTGAGAAGTTGTGGGAAACTATCACGTGGGAGGCTGATTTCAACTCCAATAAAAAATAGTTACATGACAGCGGCAAATCCCACGGTTTTAACTCTTGGGCTCAGATATTAACGAGTTGGCATCTCCTACCATCATAATCGTACATCTCACATTGATAATGTTACCCATCATAAAAGTGGGAATGGACCCATTATGTATGATATATATGTATCAGATTATGTTGGAGGTGTTGAAACATATTTTGTTGGGAGGTGATATAGACTTAATACCATCTAAAACAGAATTTTCTACCAACAAATGAGTTTGGATTTCCTCCTATCAAATACATTTCAACATGCCTCCAACTGAGGCTGGATTTAGTCCCATTACAGGTCCCAACGTACATTATAGTTGTACATTGGGGAGCATTAGCATGTTCAACCGTGATAGGTATTTCAGCCGGGTATGTGTGCTTTTGTTTTCAGTTCATCTGGAAATTTCCAATGCATGGCTGCTGTTGGGATCTTGTATTGGGACTTGATCCAAATTTCTTCCAACTTGATTTGACAACCGTGTGGTATGAGATCAAGTTAAAAGCCGAGTTGGAATAGGTTTTGTTGGGAGCATATCTCAACTCCAACAAATGCTCCCAACAATCCTAGCTACGAGGGGATGTTCATGATGTGTGTGGCTGTAGTGGTTGCTTGTTGATAGGGTTGTCAACGAATCAGGATTTGTTCTTTATAGAGTGCACCTCATACCGATCTCATAGCACTATCCCACCATATATTGGGAACATTTCCCTATGAATAACAATACAAAGTAAGGGAGATGTTCCCGATGTGCGACTAAGAGGTATTGTAAGATTGGTGTGAAGAGCAGATCTGGACTTGCTGTCAACGGGTTGAATCTGGGTCAAGGCAGAATGTCTCAGTCCCAAACTGATTATTATTTAATCAGGACAAAATCATAGGCCCACGACCTTCCCAATTAATAACTAGTGCAATTGGGCCCAACCTGGTAGGCCCAATTATATATACTAACAAATATAATTATTTATATAAATAACAACTTAAAACATGATTTTTTATAATACTACTTTAATAAAAATGATAGTAAAATACTAATTTTTTTTAAGTTAACAAATGAAGCATTTTTAATTAAAATTATTTTATATATATTATCTTCAAATTATCATTTTAGAGATGAATATAATAAAAAGAAAACAAGAAATAACCATAACTGATCCAATTATTAATCTGGATAAAATGATAAAACTAAGAAATACTAGTCCACTATATTGATTTTGTTCAGGTAGGCCAGTCAGATAGAACCAACCGGTTGACAGCCCACCATTTAGAGTGTAGATCAGTAAGCACGTTCGGTGACTTAAATATACTAGTAAGCATGTATGTGCTTTGCACATGGCAATTCTCAATGATGATAATGATGGTAATAATGTATCCAAAAAATTATATAAATATATTTTTTTATTTTTTATTTTTTATTTTTTATTTTTTATTTTTATATATTCTTTTTATTTTTTTATTATTAATCAGATGAAAATTGCAAAATGCAAATCTGATTACATAAATACCTCATCTTAATATGTGAAAATCAGATCAAGTTGTGTGAAGTTTCAAGTATCATTGATAAGCCAGCATGTTTGGCTAGATTATTCTTTTCATAATATTTTATCCTTTTGGTGTTTTTTTTTTTTTGCTCATTTATCAAAAAAAAATGTAAGATTCAAATAGAGGGATTGAATGAGATAAAAAGTAGTTCAATTTACAATTTAAACCTCACAACTAAATATGACTAAATTCAAAAATAAGCATTTTAGTCAAAAGAAAATTCCACAATCTTAGAATTATAGATGTGTTCAATTTTTTCTATATTTTTTGTATTTTTGTGTGTAAAAATAATTATGATATGTCATACTTACTTTTTGTTTAATATGATAATTATATAATATTATACATTTGCTTTGTTTGCAACATTTATGTATTTTTTTATTTTTATATTTTTATATTTTATAAATGTTTATTATTTATCTATGACATTAAATGTTAACACATTTGACCCAAAAGTTGAACTATTGATCTTTGCCAAATAGTAAAATAATTTTATTTTTAGTCTGTTTTAAATTATGTATTTCATTTTCATTATCAATAAAAATAATTCTTATTTATTACACTTATTTTTTTAATTTGATTAATAAAAGTATCAAAAATATGTCTAATTTTTTCTACATTTTTATAATTTTCTATATTTATTTCTATTTTAAAAATGTTATTACCTAACTATGACTTCATAAGTTGATGAATTTGATTCAGATGGTTGAATTGCTTAGCCACCACTTGGGTAAATAATGGTTTTGTTTTTGAGTAACTTTTAAAATACTAGTAATTAAGCATGTGCGTTGCACGTATGGATTTTTTCATATTAATTACTTTAATTTTAGATATGTCAGAGTTAGGATAGAAATTGAAAATTAATAAAAGTAACAATATGGTTAAAAATAAACTTAAATACTAAATGTGCACCTATAGAAATTTTAAATAACAATAACAATTATTACTACTTCTACTACTGCTACTACTAAATTTTGTATTCCATTTTTGTCATAAATAAATAAAAAAATTATTTAATATGATGATTACATAACATTAGAAATGTTCCAAAATAACTTTGCCAAAAATGTGTATTAATGAGGGTGGATTTGGCCCTCCAGTGAAATTATGACATCTGGCACCTCATGCCAACTAAGTGCAGCCTCTTGACAAATAGGTAGCTCGCCACTTAGGGTCAGATCAACACCTACAGGCAGCTCGGCACTTACAAGTAGCTCGTCATAGGTAGCTCGCAACTTAGGGGCAGCTCGACACTTACAGATAGCTCGGCATAGGCAGCTCGGCACAGGCAGCTGGCCACTCCACAGGTAGCCTAGAGTCTTACGAAGAGCTCGCCACTTAGGGGCAGCTCAGCGTATCGCAAGAAGATTTCCTATCTGACAACCGTACCTTCCAGATCTGGAGAATGCACCCACGTCTCTGGCCAGGCAGCGTCATCCCTGCCAACTCTGACAATGCCTCATGTCTGATAGGGCCGTACCCTGCAACGATTACCTGCGCCCACCAGCTTAGCCCTGGTAAGTAATGACTGCGGCAGAGAGTCAGAGGTGGTTACACCAGATCTATCAAGACACCGCTATATAAGAGCCCCGACCCCCCAGAGGGGAAGGGGGATGAAAAATGGAGGTAACCCCTGCTCTCTAGCTCTCTCATTTCTCTAATATCATCTTCAAACTCTCTACTATCAGAGTGCTAACTTAGCCATCGGAGTGGCCCTGTCGGGTAAACACCCCCGGGTCCTCTGATTCAGTTCTCGCAGGTCTCTTAGTTCCCGCCATCCACAAAAATGAGCAGATCATCTCTAGCATGGAGGATGGGACCTTTATCTCCCGCCATCTGCAAAGAGGAGCAGATCATCTCATGCAGAGGGCAA